GTAAGTTTAACTATCCCTCCTCTGCGCTCTAGGACTACGTGTTGAAAAAGAGCAGAGCAGTGCCCCCCGGGCCGCCGTTGCATTCAGACTTTGCGTTAACTCGCTGTTGACGCGAGATGTCCAGCCGACTGCGTCCCGCTAAATCGATATTCGGTTGCGCCTAGTTTAGCTTTACTAGCTTGCTCAACGCGTACTCGCCCCGTCTGGTTTTCGTTCATTCTGCCCGTTGCTGCAATATCTTAAGACGGTCCAATGGTATTGGTCTCAACGGCTTGCATTTCAGGTGTGTCAAGCAGTCATAGCATGGAGCTGACGGAAGTACTAGCAACAATACCCGCAACGGATCGATGGGCACCTGGATATTACCACTCGTTTGGGATTACTGATAACTACTTTATTCTGTTCGAGACACCAGAACGCATCAGCCTCATGAAGCTCATCACGAAGTGCGTTTCAGCTTGAATTATTCTCGTTATCCACTTCTTCTTGTTAATAGAGCTGCCCTTTATCACCGTTGCGCTGTACAGTAACGAAAATACAAAAGGGGCACTCGGCTCCTACAGTGACCCTACCGTGAAGTGAAATGCAGTGGACGTAACATTTTACAGACACCACATGTTTTTTCCTTCAGGGTCTGATCCTGGTTGAATACATAAATCCTCAGCCCATCACATATATGTACATTGGATGCATCGAAAAGAGGCCTGTTGCAAAGGCACGGTGCCGATGGCTGGAGTAGGCAGGGGCTCTACTGTATTATGACGAATCGCTCTAGCCAGAACCCGTAGTCAGATTACTGTAGGAGCTGATTGCCTATACTGAATTTTCGTTTCAGTTAGCTCTATAATAAAACTGATTAGAATAATTCAATCGAGCTGCAAAAATTGGAGCCAATACTTCACACCGGTCCTTTTTTTATATGATCGGGCCTCACCCTCCATGGTTGCTCCATGGAACAAGCTAAAAAAGTGTCTTCGTGTAGAAACCCTCCCACGCTTTCCTGTTCCCTGAAGGCGTATGTGTCCATTTATGTGAATTACGTTACTGAGAGCACAAACGAGTTAGTTCATTCGGTATTTTTTAGGCAAATAACGTCTATGTCTTTCAATGACTGTATGTACTGGGACGGAAACCTCGGTGTCAATGTAATTATTTTCGATAGGATCAACCGGAAGCGTGTAAAACGAAAAGTACGGTAAATGCTTGTCTCAGTTATCAGTGTCACACTTCTTTCGCGGAATTCTTGTAAGTAGGAATCCTATCATCCTACCGAAACCGTGAAGGAATAAATTTAAGTGGAGTAAAAGTGTTGTTTTTGATGAACATTGATGAACATTTGTCATCTTCTGTGAATTTAGCATTTGAGCTCAAATAATCGTACTAAGCAATAGGTTTTCCGCGACGATATGCTTAACCCTATTGCTGCTGGAGTTGTGATTATACCAATACGTTATACAGGTAACATCGGATGCCTTCTTCACGTTCCACCACGCGAATTCCTATGAGAAAGATGGCTTCCTCGTTCTTGACTACGCAAAAATTATGAGTCCAGGCAACTTTGATGATTTACTGCTGGAACATATGCGTACCGGAGGATTCCGTTCACCGGTATGCTTGACGGCTCATGTTTCGACATCCCTATTTTTTTCACATTGCAGATAACGTTGAGAAATACAAGACTAATTATAAAGCATATACTTTTCCTCAAAAAC